CAGGTGGAACTGTAGGACTATGAGGACTGTCCATTGGTTAATTCTATGGATCACTAGGATGGGATGAACAGGTGAGATAGGAACAAACAGGGCCGGGACACCTATGGACTACCTAGAGCTGTTCTCGAAATATATTGAAGCAGTAAAGCAAGACTTTTCCTAACAGAAGAGAAGCTCTCAGGTTTAGAGCATGCGATTGTAAAGATATACATTCTCAATAACAAAATCTAGCACACAGAATGAATGAATGAATGAAACACAGACAGACAAACCGACTACCTAGTCCTCGCCTACGCAAAGCTGGGCGAGGCCAACAACAGCAATAATAACTTAATTACCTAGTGCACTTCTCTTTTGTACAGTATCTTTCTGTCTCTTTCCTTAGGTACGAGTAACTACTAATGACAATAACAATAATAAAATATTAATAATGCTATGATGATGATGATAATAACAGTAACAACAATTTCAATACCTGGTGCATTTCTCTTTTGTGCTGTATCTTTCTGTCTCACTCCTTGTATACAAGTAACTACTAATGTTTTGGATAGCCAATGTTGACTTTCTTTGTTGTCCTTTGTTTTATCTTACGTCTTGTTTTGTTTGGTTTCTCTCATTTCTTGTTATGTTCTTAGTGTATTTTAATGTGTATGTTTGCATGTTGTGTTGTATGATAATAATAATAATAACAATAATATTAATAATAATAGTAACGACAATAACAATTTAATTACCTAATGCACTTCTCTTTTGTACTGTATCTTTTTGATCATGTATGAGTAACTACTAATGATAATAGCAATAATAATAATAATAATGAAGATAAATAAATAGATGATAATTAATAATAGCAATTATAACAACAACCATTTAATTACCTGGTGCATTTCTCTTTTGTACTGTATCTTTCTGTTTCTCTCCTTATGTACGAGTAACTACTGATGTTTTGGTTTGCTAGTGTGCTGACTTTCTTGTCCTTTGTTTTATTTTTAGTCTTTTTATGTTTGGTTTCTCTTATTTCTTGTTTTGTCCTTAGTGTATTTTATTGTGTATGTCAGTGTTATGTTGTACAATGATCATGATAATAATAATAATAATAATATTAATAATAATAGTAACAACAATAACAATTTAATTACCTGGTTATGTACTGTCCCTTCTATCCTTTTCATCATGTATGAGTAACTACTAATGATAATAGCAATAATAACAATATTAATGATGCAGATGATGACAATAATAATAACAATTATAACAACAACAACAACGTAATTACTTGGTTCACTTCTCTTTTGTACTGTATCTTTCTGTCTCTCCTTGTGAACGAGTAACTACAAATGATAATATTAATGACAATAATAGTCTGTCTACTTGGTTTAACTGCTGCTAGGGCTCAAATTCAAATCTGTTATTTGGTGATAGGTTCATTTTGAGCTGTATAGGTGGTCTAACAAGGTGACCCTTTTGGTTTTGCCATTGCTCTCCAGCCTCTGCTTGAAAAGCTCTCAGCCTGTGCTCACTCACTCGACATCAACTCTTGGTACTTAGATGATGGCACTCATTCTGTTGATTCCGCTGCTATTACAGTCAGGCTTTTGACATCCTCTAAGCAGAGGGTCCTTCCAGGGCTCTTTCCCTCGTAAGATCTAAATATCTGCTTTACACATCACACACAGGCCTTACTTCCCCTCCTATCTGACATCCGCACCACCCAGGAGGGCTTTGCCCTTCTAGGTTCGCCAGTTCATCCTTCAACCACCTATTCTTCTCACCTTTCTGATCGTATTTCCAAACTAGAGGCCACTCTTTCTCTTCTGCCTTCACATCAGGACTCACAGATGGATACAACTCTCCTGTCTCTCTCTCCCTAAATTGGTAACTTCCCTTCGTACATGCAACCTGGTCTCTTTGGAATCGCTTTTCTGTCCTTTTGATTCTCTGATGTTCTTGTCTCTTTCAGAGTGTATTGGATCATGCATCCCAATTGTCATGGCTCAAAGCCTCTCTCCAAGTGTCAAATGATGGCCTAGGGTTGTGGCAGCCTTTTCTTCATTCTGCTTTAGCCTACTATGCTCTTCTACACAGCCCTGCTACCGTAATTGAGAAAATTTTAGGCTTCGCTAATGATCTCTTCCCTTTTCTAGATAGCTATTGTCCCCAGCTTGCTTTATCGGCCTCTAAACCTGACTGGATCTCTCCTGACTTCATTGATGTTCCCATTTCTCAGCCCTCCTGTATTGACAAATATTCCTTCTCTTCTTTCCTAAGTTCTGCCCAAAGTTTAAGTTTAAGGCTGTTGCCCTGTCCTTTTCCCTCCCCCACTCTGGTGATCGGCACTCTGTTGTCACTTCCTGTCAATTAGGCTTCCACTTCTTAAATCAGGAGTTCAGACTTTCCTACCAATACTGGCCAAGTATGAATCATAGCAGTGAGTCTTTTCCTTGTAGGGTCTGCTCTTCCCAAACTGATGTGTTTGTTGACCACCAGTTAGGCTGTCGTGGGAACCAGGACCTGATTCAACATCACGACTCCAAAAAGGACTTTTTGTTTTCTGCCCAATCAGATGCCCTGGCTCCTAGGATGGAGGTGCCTTTTCTCATTCCTGGGTATTTTGCTCATCCTGCCAATATCTTCCTCCCATAGTGGAAAGGTGACCGTCCAGTGGCCCTATGTGTTACGGTCACTTCCTCCCTCCAGGAGCAAAGGGTTACTGCTGCTGCTGGGTTCTGCATTGGGTCTCGTAAGTTCTATGCTCATACAGCTGCCTGCCATCAGATTGGGGTCAACTTTTTCCCTCCAGCTGTAGAAGCTCTTAGGGGTTAGAGTCCATCTGCTTCCAATTTTATTGATCAGTTGCCTCGCTTCGTTGACCAACGCCCAGGGGCGTATCTAAGGGTGGGCCTGGGTGGGCCTGTGCCCGACCAACTAGCAGAAAATTTAAAAAAGTAATTTTGTCTATTTGTCCTTTTAACATGATACTTACTTTCTTATGATAACAATGAGATTAAAAAAAAAGCATAGCTGCAGTGCTAATCAGTGTAAACATCATGATGACATGCTAGACACAATATGAGACGCTGTTCCATTTTGGCTGCCATCAAAGTTTTATGAATTAAAATTACTATTAACCAATCTGTTATTAAACTATTCACTTTAAATGATATTCATTATGTTACTTGTGGATTGGTATCAAACCACAGACATCCAACCACAACTGCATCATCTGCATGTGGCTTCATCTAACGTGTATTCATGTGTTATTGAATTAAAAATGGCTAAGCAGCTTACTCTTTTTGACTGCCTTTCCAAGGCCAATACAACTAATCCAGCAAATATTAGCACTGAGGTAGACTTAGTAGATAGTAAGTCACATATTGAAACTCTGTCTGTAGCTTTCATTTTGTAACTGTAGATGTTATTGATGATGAGTTTGAACTTCAGAGTGATTTCTTGACTAGCCAGAGTGACTGTAGTGTTGATGAATTGCTAGATGAAGTGAGTGCTACTGGAGATGTTGATCAACTGAACTTGGATGAATTTGAGTCAGATTCTGAGACTGAACAACAGGAAGAACACCACATTAGTCACCCTACAATAGAGACCTCCTGCGCTACTTCTGATTGTGCTCAACTTGCAGCTTCAGATATATCAAGTGGTGTTGCTCAGCCACCAGTTCGACCTTTACTGAACTCTTTTCCAACAACCCAATTTGGTCCCAAGGCACGATGCTTTAGTAAGATCTGGTATGAGAAGTATTCATGGGTTGAGTACTCAATTCAA